GCGTTCTTGTTGCGCAGTTTTAAATCCACGCTCGACCTTTAACAGCGTGCGTGAGAGTGGAGCTGCTGGAGGTCACCTTTCCTGCCAAAAGCGTCTGGCACTGCCTTTCCAAGGATGAAGAGCACGCGGGCATTTCACGTTTCCAGGCTTATGATCGGTTGTTGTCGAAGTCTTATGGAGCAATACGCAGAAACGGTCCATGTGATGTGCCACCGGTTTAATTTAAAAATAAAATACAATAAAAACAAAACATTAGTTTTGTGTGAATGTGATTTCTTCCTCTTTTTAAAAAAGTTCTGCCTAAAGCATCCGTTTCCACATAAATTAACGAGTAATTTAAACAGTTGTAAATGACTTCTTGGGCTATAATATGTCAAAAACACCTCAAACATAACTCATGAATGATATCAAGTCATTCCGAGGCGAAAAGAAAGTCCCTGTCACAAAGTAGAAGCTGCGATCAAGGTTTGGTAAAGGGACTATTTACTGAGACTAAAAAAATTGTCTCTTTGAAGAGCGATCTGGCCAACATGGAAAGAAATATCACATTTCTATAAAGAAGTTTTAAGTGTCAAAAGGACTGGACTGAGTGTAAATATGGAGCAGGAGCAACCAGGCTTGCAATACTGATCATTTCTTGATTTTAGCCCTTCATAAAGCCTGTTCATTACCAATAAAAATGGCTTAAAATAGACACATTTGACTGTGCAGGATTCAAGCATTCAAAGATGTTTAAGAAGCACGTTGTCTGAAAACGCCATGATAGTTTTACAAAACAAACAAACAAACAAAATAAGAAGAAAGTGACACTTTTCACAATAATTTCACGTAAAAGCACCGACACTGGGATCATAATCAATCCGCCAACCAGCAGTGAGTAATCCTCACACACTCTCGTCTTCACGTTTCTAGTAATGTGAAGCGTAATGGCGCACTAGTTTGTCCCTGTGCGCTCGCCGTCCTTTCACATGATTTCCACAGCGTGTGACTGCCCTGCATTCCTCAAGTGGCGATATTTTCTCTGTGTGGAAGTGATTAAAACTTACGGCGAGCGAAACGTAAACATGGCGTGAAAACACGCTCCGTGGCCGTGTTTTGAGTGATCTGCGGCGAACAGCGGACCGTCTGCGGCGTGACAGGCGATTACTAAGATCAGAATTCGCGGATAAAACATCAGTTCCACTTTTTGTGTTTTAGTAGTTGTGTGTGTGTGTGTGTGTGTGTGTCAGAGTGCATCTTCAGCCTGCTCGGGCGGATGGATACAAGATAGCCGATGACTGAGGGGCTTCTGGGGGCTTCGCGTCGGTCATGGCTGAGCTTCTGCAGCCAGATTCAAGAATGTAAGATCCGCTGAGAGCCACTTTTACTGCAGACACCAGCTACAGCATGCAGGGTGGACCATAAACATACACGGCTTTGCTACTTTGCTGATAGTGAGCTACTACATTATTATAGCAAACCAAACACATATCTTTATGCACAAAGTTAATTAGATGCTTGCTTCCAGCACAGTATTACTAATGCGTGGTTGACATGTGTCTTTTCTTGCTTCTTTATTTCTTAAATGACACATTTAGCCACTCGTGTGTGTTTACTTCTGCAGGTGTAACTATTTCTTCCTATATGATGGATCCAAGGTCACAGGAGAGGCTGATCCTACAAGAGACGGAATCTGCTACTTCTACCCTGAAGAGGTCTGGCTGACACAAAGTGCTGCAAGCTGCACGTCTAGTGTGTGTGTGTGTGTGAGGGAGTGTGTCGAAGATGATAACAATCTCCCAGCACTTGTATTTGTGTGCGTGTGTTCTTAGCTTGATTTCAGAGAAGTCTGT